AAAGGGTGCCGCGACTAAAGAAAGGTTGGGAAACACTGGTCTAGTATACCTTGACATGTAAATATGTAATACTTGTATTTTACTTACAGTATCATTTGTCTTTACTTACAGGGCAGTATATTGTTGTAGCGATTTTTGCTTCGGTTCCCAGGTAGACGTGCAGCATTCTGAATTTGGGTCCGTCCCACGTCCTTTAGGCCCTTTTCAACATTGGGTAAATGTTGATGCAATAATCAATAATGCATTCAGATGATAAAGTTCAGCTTATTTGCTGATAAATGTTTATTTAGATTAAAGTGGAAGGATGTCTTGACTAGGCTATCAAGTCTATTATTCTGTTACTGCTTTGATACTTAGATATTTAGTGTTTGATTTTGTTATATGCAGTGTATTACCTCAAACTCTTCAGATAGAAGGTAACTGCAATCAGCTTGAAGTTTAGCAAGATGAGACTCAAACTGGGCTGCTTGGACTGGGCTAGTGCATAATAGTGAACATTCTAAATCAATAACATTCATGCTTATAATAATAATGTTAAAAATAAATGCTGCAATAAGTCATTTATGAACAAACTTGTTTTTGAGGAGTTTAGCCTCAGTGTTTTGTCTTCGCAAAGATGTCAGTCGTACAAAATATGATTTATAAATATCATTATTGTTTATTTTCCTCTCATTAAAATAAAGAGAATTTAAGTATTTTGGTACCTCCTTATGCCTGAGCACATCTGTGAGGTAGGCAGCGCCTTCCACATGCACATTTTCATCACTGGACTTTCCTGCACGGCTCTTGAAGAACAAACAGGCACAAATAAACATCAGCACAGTAACAAACATTGTGTGTTAACAAAAGTGTTTGTGTGTACTCACATTTTGTGAGCCCTCTTTCTGTAAATGAGTAAGGCAGTCAGAGCGAGCATCATGGCGACTAGAAACGTAGCAGCGGTGATTCCTCCTGTGAGGCCATTTCGTGGTGCTGAATGACAAAAACATGAGAAATTACACTACTTAATAAAAAATAGGTTGGAGTCATGGCACAGTGGTATTGCACATGGGGAACTGGTTTGAATCTGACCTGTGTCATGTTCTCATCTCAACAATCCTAAACTCAACTGTCCTGCTGATTCTTAACACTAAAAAAACATCAGTGTCTTACCTGATTGAGTTAATAATGGGAGGGAAAGGTAAGTGTCGGTGTAAAGGGGATGCACACATTCTTTGTTCTCGTCATCAAACAATTGAGTGAAGGCACGGACACTTAATCTGAGACAGTAAAGTAAGAATATTTAGAATTACACATCTTAAACCTCATTTGAAAATTATTTCAGTTAAAAATAAAAATTTTGTCCTCATTTACTCATATTCATATCATTCCAAACCTGTCACATTAATATAATATTTTAATGCTATATTATTTTAGCGTAATCACTTTTTGGTCATTTTTAGAGCTTGACAGGACCCATCAACATTCTCTGTCACTGTACGAAAAAGAACACCAAGAACATTATTCTAAACATCTCCTTTGATGTTCCACAGACGAATGAACGTCAATCAGATTTTGAATAATATGAGAGTGAATAAATAATGACAGTTTAGGTATGATATTCACTAGCATTTTTTAAAATACTTAATAAATTTTGTTATGCTGCAGCATACAATTTTTAATATGAAGACAATCTTCTATTTAATAAAACACACTGACATTGAGATGGATGAACATTACAAACTTCAATGTAAGGTAATACAACAAATATTACATAAAGCTATTCAATAGGACCGATATGAGGTTCTGGGTCTGAGCGGCCCATCACAGAAATGCGTTCCATGTTGGATAGATTCTGGATCCCATTTGCAAGCTCCCCCTAGACGTTTCATCCCTGCTCCGAGGTTTACCTCAAAAACACGGATCTTGCTGTCAGATCCCTTGGCACACAGGCTATGAAAGTAGCCGGTCTGGTATGCTTTGATGGAGCGGTTTTGTCTGTAGTCTAGATAAGATGGCAAAGGATGTCTTTGCTCTGGGAGGATATTATCAACATCTGTAAATGAAATGAAACGAAACAAGACTGGATTCAGTTTTACAGAGTTAAAGGATTAGTTCACCCAAAAAT